GTTTCCTTCCCATTTCGGCTGGGCATTCACCACGCAGTGGCCTAAGGGGAAATGGGCAGGATCCTGCTGAGGCGTCTTCCCACTGACGGAAATGTGCCGTTCTGGGGTCTCAGTGTGACCTCGGTGTACTGGGCATCTGGGACCTGGCTTGTCTTGTGTCCTTGAGAGACAAGCGAGGACAGGGTGGAACAAAGAAGAGGGATCGGGGCGAGTACGGCCTCGCGCTGTGCACGGTACAGGCCCTTCTCCTCATCACAGGCGGACCAACAGGCTCCGAGCTGTGCACAGGCATCTGGATTCACCGCCCAGTTCACGGACCCACCGTGGGGGGTGAGTTCATTCCTTCCACGAGGACAGAATTAACTTGATACTGAGAGGTGTTAAAGCACACTAGGTGGTCAATTTATACATGTATATTTCTAGATAGGATAAGACAAATTATAAGTCATTTGACAGTTAAATAATATTTATGATTTCAAATGGCAGGTTCAACTGTATCAATTCAGTAAAAACAAACAAACAAAGAAAAAAACTTTCCTGAGCTCAAAAATATAACTGACCTAGGAATATGATCACAGAACAAAACCCAGAAGAATACTAGATTGCATTTTCCTCCTCAAAGGCACAGTGCCATTTTACATTGATTATTGATTTTATGGTATGCTTTCTAAAAAGGTACAACACATATTATGATACTTATTTTGTAGTTTGGGAAAACTAAGGACTTAAGTGACCTGTTGAATAATTCATTTAGTGAATATGTGAAGTCATATTAGCACAGAAGCTCAGCTGTGTAGTTTATTAGACTGTTCTTATGGAGGTTTGTTTATAATATATTTAATTAACTAACTCTGTAATATAAATTAATTCATTAACTAACTCTGTAATATAAAACACATATTCATCTTGATATCATTTTTATAATCATACAATACGACAATTCAAATATGAAATAATGAGATCTTGGTCCAGGGTAATGGTTATGAAAAGAGAGAATCAATAATGAGAAAATCCAGAATCAATATGATTTGGTGACGAGATGGAACTAGGGAGGAAATAAAGAGGAAACAACTATGTCTCTCACCTTATGATTCTTTAATCTTCATAATTTTCAGGATCTATACTTTGTACTAGTTAAGCATACACATATATTTTATTTATTTTTAATTTAAAATTATATCTACTGATCATTTTTTTAATCCTCACCCAAGGATATTTTTACATTTATCTTCAGACAAAGTAGGAGAGAGAGAGAAAGAGAAACATCGATGTGAGAGGGACACATCAATTGATTGCCACCCGCATGACCCCGACCGGGGCCAGGGATGAACTACAACCAAGGTACGTGCCCTTGGCCAGAATGGAACCTGGGATTCTTTGGTCCGCAGGCTGATGCTCTAACCGCTGAGCCAAACCAGCCAGGGCTATATCTACTTATTAATAATGTTAGAGTAACAGATCCCATCAGGAATGAGAGGTGTATGACCCAAAGGCTTTGAGACAAGTGACTCAACGTGCAGCCTTTATAGTCTCATGGTGATTTTTTTTTTCATCCTTGCCCAAGGACATTTTTTTCAATTTTTGTTCAGATAGAGTGGGAGGGAAAGAGGAGAGAGAGAGAGAGAGAGAGGGAGAGAGAGAGAGAAACACATCGACGTGAGAGGGACACATCGATTGATTGCCACGTGCATGACCCCAACCGGGGCCAAGGACGAACTACAACCGAGGTACGCGCTGCCCCCTTAGTGGGAACCGAACCCGGGTCTCTCTGGACCACAGGCCAACGCTCTAACCGCTGAGCCAAACCGGCCAGGGCTCATGGTGATTTTAATGACCAGACTGTCATGCAGTGAACAGAGGATTAACATTCTAGTCCAGCATCAGGAGATGGAGGGCTGTAAAACACAAAGCTATTTTAAAGCTATATAAGCATAAATTAAGTTTTAAGGCTTAAAACTCTCATAAAAGTTTTCTAACTCCATGGATCACTATACATCCTTCATATTTTATTATTCTTGAAACTAGTCACTACATTGTCTTGGCAGGGACTTATGGTAGAAAATGGGGTGAGAATAGATGAGGAAGGGATGATGGAATAGCAAAGTGTTTCCCTACTACTACTGGAAGGTGACCTGAGAATTATTCATTATAACATTCATTCATTCATTCATTCATTCATTCATTCATTCATTCATTCATTCAAGCATTTACTTCCAGAAGCTCTTGCTTCTCAGGAATTATGTTCTATATGTAAGACACAAAGAGACAATTAAATTATGTATGTGTCCTCAAGAAGCTTAGAGTGTAGGGAATAAGACATTACTAAATGAAAACTTCACCTGCACCTGAGAAGTCTAAATGCTGTATGCACGTAGAGTAACGGGACCAGAGCAGAGGGGAACAGAGGAGAGAACCGAACCAGTATCAGCAAGGCGGACTAGAGAAAGAAGGGGGAGGAGGTAGAGGAAGCTTGGAATGGCTTCCAGGAGAAAGTGAGGCTTGAATTTCACACTCTATATTCTTCTCCTAGTCCTTACTCCACGCTGCACCCTACAGCTCTTCTCTCCTTGCTGGGTAATCCAACCACGACCACTTCTCCTTTTACAACCTTTAACACGACCGGCACCTGAAGAAGTACCTCCAGCTCAGTCTACCTCTTTGATGACACTCTGAAGTTATGGGGAGAAACGAGTCTGCCTGGGAGCCTAAAGGTAGCTACCCACGTATCCCAAAAATAATGTCTTGGAGGCCAAAGGAAGAGAGTTTACAACAGAAGTGCTAGATGTAAAAATGAGACGTGCTTTGCGGTCAGCCCACTGACGTGCTTGGCACGTGTGGGAGAAACGGCGAGGGTGGGCGTGTGGAGACCAGTAAGGCAACAGACATACTCTGCTCGTTTAAGGCACATCTGGGCAAGACGAGAACCAGAGGAGGACTTGTGTTAAGGGAGTTTGTTTGATACAAAAGAGAACCTGTTTCTGTGCTGGGGGGTAGCTTTAGCAAAGAGGGTACAGTTGAAAATGGAGGAGGACATGCTATGATGATTGGGAGGGGGAGGACATGACCTGGAGCTTCTGGGGACAGAGTAGCTTCCTCCTGCTTGATGTGGGAAGGAAGTAGGGGGCGATGGTGGGGATGCAGCGGAGTTTGTAGACTGGGGGCAGGGAATCCGTTTAATTACGGATTGCACACTTGCTCTGCTAAAATCCTCCACCTGGACCACAGAGATGAGTAAGACACCATGCCGGTACTCTCCCTTATCAAACATTAATTTCACTTAAAGGGAATAAATGGATATTTAACCTTATGCTCCTTGAAATTCTAACATGCCCAGCAGTGGCTGACAAAGGGCAGGATGCTGGGAACAGGTACTCCCTGGAGGATTTCATCAATGACCTTGCTCAGAATTGGTGATTCATGACGATAATAAAAATTAGTCTGACTTTTAGTCAGTTTTATTATCACTTTAAATCATCTATAAAAATGACCCCTTAATGCCTGCATCTGAGCAGATCTTTCCTGACACCTTGCCCTTGGTACACCACCGGTGCTCAGATGCCTGCTTCAAGGCTTCTCTTAGAAGAAAATATAAATGCCTTACACCCGTCTGGGTAAGAAGAGTAAAAGAACCGGAAGGACGTGAAGAAGTCAAGTTTAACCCCTTCATATTTGCCAAAGAAGAAAGCAAGGCCCAGACAGGTGAATGGCACATGAAGCCACTCAACCCAGAAATGGCAGGGCTGGGTCTCAACTCCAGTTCTCCTGACTCCCAATTAGCTTCAGGGAAAAAGTTCCATCTTGTGTGCCTTTCCATGCTGCCACCCGGAAGCCAATTTAGTAGTATTCAGGCAAGGGAGTGGCACCTGGCTCCACTAGGAAATCATCACATATCTTGGGGAGGAGGAGAAAGAACGCCTTGACCACTCTTCATTTTCCTTCTGTTGTGAAACCGAGGTGTTTTCCTTTTAAGGACAGGGTTGCTCTCTGCAGCCAATCCTCTTCTTCAACTCGGTCATGGTTCTTTGACAATACTTTCAAAGAAATGTGAGTGACCAGCTTGGTCTTCTGCTGCTCTTAAAGCCACAGACTATTTTTTTCCGAAGGGATGTGGGGTACGCGTGTGTGTGTGTGTGTGTGTGTGTGTGTGTGTGTGTGTGATGGAAAATATAATCAAGTTTATACAGATGATCTAGAAACCGAAGGCAACAAAACATAGAGAGATAGAAAATGGAGATACAGGAAAATAAAAAGAGAATGAACCTGGAAATGTATCTTGAAAATTTTTAGTTCCTCTTCTACTCTGATGTGCAGTGTTGAATATAATATAACTCATATTTTAAATATAGCCACGAATCTTCTTATTTTAAGAAATGCCATGGGAAAGCTTTACCTTACATGTTGGGGAAATAAAGGATTAAGTCACTCATTTATGAATTCAGCACACTACCTTTCACACATTATATTCGCTTTAAATGAAAAATGAACAATATAAGAACATCACCAAGACAGGTAAAGCAACTAAAAGAATGTTACAAATCTTGAGATAATGTTGGTTTTTCTCAGAGGAAGCACAGGACAACTTTATAAAAAGTGAATTCGTGACGTAAGCTCCTTCTGCCTTACTCCAAATAATGCAGGCTTTGGGGGGACATGGGCAGTCCTGTCCACCAGAGTTTTGATGACAATTACAGGATAGGTCAGTGGCCCTCCAAAGGCCCTCAATAAATGATTATAGACACTGTCCTGTGTCAAAGATGACCTTCGCTTGGGTCTATACCAGTTTAACAAAATCAGATGTCACTAAAAGATTTTATGTAACAGCCAGATTCTTTGGGAGACAAGAAAGACTATTTCCTCTTGGGGTCCATATGGCGGTGAGCAATTCTACCTAATATGTTAATCACCTCTAGTTCTCTCCTTTTTAGTTGGTGAATACTCTTAAAAAAACAAAAAACAAAACCACACACACAGCATGTGAGGGATAGAGAAAGGGCTCTCACCTCTCTTGAAGTCCTATGGGTTTCATTTTGAAAGGGGACGGGCACACAGCGGTGGTGGCTTTGATCTCAGGAGTGTATCGACCTTGAGGGTCCACGACCACACTCAGTACCTTTGGCATCTGCTCAGGCTGGACCATGCTGTTGACTGTCTTTGCCTCAGACTGTGTTGGCTGTAACGCGAGGGGCGATAGGTGGATCTCCTGATTTTTCTCCTTATCTTGTCTCAAAGAAAGCTGAAACTTTTCTTTTAGTCTGTAAAGAATCTATAGAAGGAGAAAGAAAGAGCTCCTGTCACATTTTTGACACTCAATAACAAGGTAGGACCTCTTCCACCCCAACCCTGAAGACAAACCAAAGCCAAGGGTTACTGATAACACAAGTAAGCAAAGACTTCTGGGATGGCTTCTCAATTCTGCGGTATTGAGACTTTTCTCAAAAGAATATATCAGTAATTCTATATAGGGTGCACAAACATATTAAATATATATGTACATAAATTTTTTTCCTAAATATTGTTAAAAGCAAATTTCACTAATTTTATAAAAGAGCCAGATGTCAATTTGATCACAGGTAAGGTTTTAATTAAAATGACTGAAACAGGACTTACGGTCAAGATAATGGGTAGGTAAACGCGGTCTCGCCTTCTCCCACGACCACATCAAAATTACAACTAAACTATATAACAACCATCATTCAGAACTTCCTGAAATCAAGCTGAATGGAAGTCCTAGAACTACAAAATTAAAGAAGAAGCCACATCGAGACTGGTAGGAGGCGTGGATGGGCTTGTCCTATACCCACATGTGGCAGATAAAAATCAGGATGGTACCTCAACTGGGAAGGTCCTCCCTGAGGTGAGGGGTCCCCATCCCACACCAAGACCACCAGCTCAGGGTTCCAGAGCAGAAAGAGCAGTCCCCATGACTTCAGGCTGTAAAACCAGCGGGAACTGAGGCTGAGGGAGGCTGAGGCTTCTGGAGCCCCAGGCAGCTCCTCTTAAAGGACCTGTGCATCAACTTACTGGGACTTGCTCCCTCCAGGCTCCAGTGGGGGTGGGGGTGGGGGGAAGCAGTTTGAAAGGCACCAGAGATGTACAGGGAAGTAATGAATTGTTTGGCATCGGAGTGAGAGCTGAAGAGGCAGCTTTCTCCCAGACAGACATGCTGGCTGATGCCGTTGTTCCTTTGGGAGCCCTTCCCCCAAGGAGCTGACAAGTGGGTGTCATATCTGGGATGCCAGCAACCTGGCTCACAGGGTTTGCCCTACCCTGGTGATTCCCTGAGGCCCTGCCCCACCCAACTTTCTGGCCCATCCAAGCTGTTTCTAGTGGCTTTACCAAAGGATTGGCCTCTCTTGGCTCCTGCTTCAGATTTTCCTAAATTCTCTCAAACAAGCAAGCCCCATACCTCTAGCTAACTGGCCCCAGGCCTGGCACTAGAAGCAGCCGGCCTTGGTTCACAGCTTGGATTTACCTGGGCACCTCCGAGTCCAGCATAGGAAGCAGCCATCTGCCGATTTCTTTCTAGTTTATCCCTGGTGGCCCCGGGTAGAACACAGGCAGTCACTGACCTTGCCCCAGAGCCAGCACACCCAGTGGACAGCTTCAAACCATATCAAAGCATCACCACACAACCACCTTTATAAGCGACACACTCAAGAAATGGACTCAGTGGGTACCAGAGCCCTGATGAAGTAAGTCTTGCTCTGTGGTGGGCCCCTGCACAGCTGGTCCTCTAAGGTAGTCAGAGGTCAGTGGTAAGTGGATGCTGCCAGTCCTTATAGATGATCAGCCTGAGTAAATCTCTCCCACTGAAGTGCCTACAGCAGTCAAGACTCAATTATAACAGAAGGGTGTACAGTCCACACTAGGGGTGCACCTCAAGGACCCAGCTCTCATGATCAGGGAGCCTGTACCACTGAAACCTACTACAATTGGTCACCATACAAAGCCTAGGAGACATAGCAGCTCTACCTAATACATAGAAAGGAACACAAGGAGGCACCCAAAATGAGGAGACAAAGAAACATGTCCCAAATGAAAGAATAGAACAAAACTCCAGGAAAAGAACGAAACAAAATGAAGATAAGCAATCTAACATATGCAGAGTTCAAAACACTGGTTTATAAGGATGCTCAAGGAATTTAGCAAAGACCTAAAGAGCAGAAAAATGGATCAGTCAGAAATGAAGGGTGTATAGTCAGAAATAAAGGATGCACTAACTGAAATAAACAATAATTTACAGGAATCAATAGTAGAGTAGGTAAAGCCAAGAAGCTAAGCATTGGTTTGGAATATAAGGAAGCAAAAAACACCCAATCAGAACAGCAAAGAGAAAAAAGAATCCAAAAAAATTGAGGATAGTGTAAGGAGCCTCTGGGACAACTTCAAGTGTACCAACATTCGCATCATGGGGATGCCAGAAGGAGAAGAGAGAGAGCAAGAAATTGAAAACCTATTTGAAAATGTAATGACAGAAAACTTCTCTAACTTGGTGAAGGAAACAGATGTACAAGTCCAGGAATCACAGAGTGTCCCAAATGAGATGAACCCCAAGAGGCCCACACCAAGACACATTATCATCAAAATGCAAAAGGTTAAAGACAAAGAGAAAATCTTAAAAGCAGCAAGAGAAAAGCAGTTTTTTTTACCTACAAAGGAGCTCTCGTAATGCTGTTAGTCAATTTCTCAAAAGAAATTTCAACAAGAAATATTCAAAGTGATGAAAAGTATGGACCTACAACCAAGATTACTCTATACAGCAAAGTTATCATTTAGAATCAATGGCCATATAAAGAACTTCCCAGACAAGAAAAAGCTAAAGGAGTTCATCACCACCAAACCAGTATTATATGAAATGTTGAAGGGTCTTCTTAAAGAAGAAGATAAAAAGTATGAACAATTAAATGGCAATAAATACATATCTATCAGTTTGTATGAATCTACAAACAAAATATACAAGCAAAAAAGAAACAGACTCATAGATACAGAGAACGTTTTGTTGGTTGCCAGATGAGAAGGGGGTTGGGATGGGCAAAAAGGTGAAGGGATTAATAAGTACAAATTGGTTGTTAGAACTGACAAACCTCAAAGGGAAAGAGGAGGTGGGGTAGATAAACCAAAGAATTTCTATGCATATATGCATAGCCAATGGACACCGACAATAGTGTGGGGAAGGCAGGAGGGGGGCGGGAATGGGGACGAGGGGACCAAGGTGGGGGAAAGGGGGGAACATTTGTAATACATTCAAATATAAAAATAAGTTAAAAATAAATAAAGAAATAAGATGATTGAAATAGAAGCTTTATAGAAGATAACCGTGAAACATGGGCTTATGACATTTACAGAAACAGATCTGCATCGTATACATGTAAGAAGAAAGTCTTGCGAAATATTAATGAAAGAATAATTATGCTATAAGCCATCATTTCTTATGTTGGCAAATATTGCATTAGTCATATATTAACTTGAGTATCTAGTAAATACTTGAAATAATTAAATTTAGGACATCTATCAAAGAATACTTTGGACAACAATAATATTTTTTCTTACCCTTTCCCTGTTTAATTTTTAATGCATGTAGAAAAAAATTACTTTCCTCCATTCTCAGACCTCTTTCTAGAATGGCTAATATAATTCAGAAATGGTAGGATCTTCACTTTTAAACTTTTGGAAGAACTGGAATGACTGCTGAGAAACTTGAAGAGACCCTATTGTGAGGTGAGCTAAGTATGTCTTTCCTGTCCCCAGGCTTCCCTTTTTTTTCTCTTTTCTTTTAAAACTTTACTTATTTCTATTTAAATTAATTTTTTAAAGGTTTGACTAAGATATAATTGACATAAAACATTGTATACGTTTAAGGTGTATAAAAGAACAATTTGGTATTGTTTCCCTTGTCCTGGGGCTGGCTCCTGTCCTCCGATTCCTGCAGAAACTAGATGTTCGTGTTTCTTCAAGTCTCTTCAAGAGGGGACTTGATGGGGTGAAGAGCAGACTTCACCCGCCACCTGCAGTGATGACACCCGTGTCCTGTTGGGCTCCCCTGTTCAATTTCTGGAGCCCATTAGCTAAGTGAGTGTCATTTTAGACTACAAGCTTTCCTGGCACTTTTCAGTCACATTTACTCCAACTCTGGGGCTAAGTCTTTCCTTTACTTCCAAAGTTCCTTTAAATTTTGGCACTCTAAATTTTAAATCCACTGGAAAGATACAAAGTCTAAATATATATATTTTTTGGTAAAGGAAGGATATAAATAAAAGCTAGGAAAGAATTCACCTGAAATTATAGAGGAAATAAATACCTTTGATCACTTATTTCAGGAAAATTTTAGAGAATATTTGTCCAGTATTCTAAAAATCTATTGGTTAAAAAAATCCTATTCAAGCTTGGTCTGTGTGGTTTAGTGGTTGAGGATCAACCCATGCACCAAGAGGTCACTGGTTCGATTCCCGGTCAGGGCACATGCCCAGGTTGTGGGCCTGATCCCCAGTGGGGGGCACGCAGGAGGTGGCTAATTGATTTCTCCCTCATCAATGTCTCTATCTCTCTCTCCCTCTCCCTCCACTTTTTCTAAAAATCAATAAAGGAAAAAAAAAATTTTAAATATCCTATTCAACAAGATAAAATTATAAAGAAAAAATAAGGATAAAATAAACACACAACAATCTAAAAGGAAAAGGTATCAGACTGAGATTAAAAAGAAAATAATTCAAAGAACTAAAAACGGTAGCAAGAGGTAAATCTTTGTAAGTAATAAAGAACAGAACTGATGATGCAAATAATACAACCAGTGGTACGTGAGGTGTACAAGGCAGTGTTGAGAGACTGGCTGGAACGCAGAGCAAGAGGAGAACGCAACGAAGATACAGACGAGAGAAAAGACAGGACATGGAAGTCAGACAAAAGTCATGGTCAATGACAAACCAGTATGAATGACAGGGAAGCAAGTCATGTCTGTTGAAAGAAGAGTAATTGTGAGAATAAAATGGGGCAATTTTTCATCACTTTGAGGAAAAAAATACACGTTACAAAAGATGCATGAATTCCACAACTAGATAAATTGATGTTCATGTGTATGAAGGCAACAGAATTTTTCAAATACTCGAGGTATCAGAAAATATACTATCTGTTTACCCTTCCTGAAGAAAATCTTACTCAGTCATGAGAAAAGATGATTCAAAATTAAGCAGTAAAGAGCTAGAAATTGTAATGTGAAAGGGAGCTTTGGAATTATTTAACCACAGAGTGGAAACTAAATGTAATTAT